TTTTTTTTTTGTCTTTATTTTGATTCGATTGAGAAATAGTTAGAAAAACGGGGAATTTCTGCCGTTTTATTCAAAAGAATTTTTTTCCTTTATTGTTGTATATTTTGTTGTTGTTGTTTACTGTTATGTCTGAAAAATAAGCAACTACAGTAAAAGATTGTTAATCATAGGTTACGTCAAGCTAAGTTTATAGATAGGAAAGGGACGGTAACAGATGCTGCATTTCAATAGTGGGTGAAACAGATCTACGTCTTTGTGTTAGATAATACCTGGAACTTGATGAGCTGAGTGTATAAGGTTAAATGGTCTTGAGTTGTTTATTTCAGTTCAATAAATATTTTTAGTTTATGGGAGAGTTGAAGAGCTTTTAAAGTATTTTAAAGAAGTAGTTTTATTGAAGGGTGGAAGATGGGGAAGGGAGGAGAAGCGATGGGAAGGCAGAGGAAGTAAGAAGGATTGACCGAAAAAAACAACTGATATGCAAATGTTGTTGGTGGAGAAAAATTCATTCCTGGTGAAAAAAATCTTCTACACGTTAGTTTCATTTTTTTTGTTCAATTTTTGACGTCCGTAATTCCACTGTCTGCAGAAATTCTCATTGTTCGTTTGCCTATATGGTCGCTACTTTTTTTCTGTTTTCTTTTTTTTCCATTTTTTATCTTGCTTCTGTTGTTGTTGTTGTGTTGTCAGTGCTTCTGATTTTGAGATGTATATATCAAACGTTTTGTTACTGTTGGTGGCGATGATGACGAACGAAGACGAAGAGAAATGGGGAAGAAATGAACTAGAAACTAAAAACGATTGGGCCCCGTCGCTTATATGTCTGCTGCTACTGTTTTGCCCTTCTCAGCTGCGATCCATGGCTCGTGTCTGACGCCCTTTCTGCTAACTGCAGCATTCTTGTTGTACCGTTTATTCCATGTTGCGTACCACCGCTCCAGGTGCTGAGTATTTGGACGGTCGGCACAAATGGTTACCACAACGGGATCGGTGGTGCTTCTGGTGCAGATGGATGGATACAAATGTGCTGCTGGCTTGGCTGATGACACTTCCGTTAGATGGGTGGGTGGAGAATGGAAGTTTAAACAGACGGGGCATTCAAGGTTGCTACTTTTTGGTTTTTCAAGACATTCTTTTTGTGCAAAACTTTGTTTTTAGTATTATCCTTAATTGGTTCTCCGCGCTGTAATTCTGGGAGATTAAAGTTACCATTCAAATACAAACTCATTTTTAGTTTTGTTTAACCTTCCTCGTACTGTTTTTGCCCATCTTGTTTGTAGCTAGTTGCTTATATAAAAAAAATATACTGAATAATTTGGCAAAAAAAGAAGAAAAAGAAGCCTTTTGGATGGTCTTGTTCTTGTAATGCATTTGTTTTGAAAAGGCTTTATACTGATGATACTGCTTGTTTTATTATGTTTATATTTCACATTCTTGTCATCTGAGAATGGATCCCTTCATCAGTTTCCTTCATCGTCACCATCGATATCAGTAAATTATCATTAAGCCAAATTTTTTTAACGTCATGTTGTGTTTATATCATGGTGTTTGTTGCTTTTTTCTGAATTTTTACTGCTCATCATTGATCTGATCGACTTTATTAGTTAAGACTTCTGAGTTTATCTATTTACTTTTCCTTTTTTTTCTTTTTATTTATGCTTAGTTTACCTATCAATGAACTGTTGGTTTTTGTTCTTCCGATTGATAATCTGTGCTGGTTGATGAGAGGTATAATGCATGTGAATGCCGAAGGGTACAATTGTACTTCTGAACAAAGCAGCCAAAGTAAACGAAAACAGTTTCTGTTGAGAAATCTTTTTTTGGGATTGGAAGGATGATGATTATTGTTGTTGTTAAACTATTTATTTTTATTTTTGCTTATTTTTGATTTATTTTCTGACGAATGATATGATAATTATTTTTAGTTGATGAATGGTCGTGGCAAGGCTAACGGTGTGATCGAAGAAGAAACTTTTTCCAAGTTCATTTTTAACAAGGAAAAAGGTACTTGCCTTGGACGTACAGCAAAATCATGGGGTAAGTCTATTGTTGTTGTTTTTGCACCTAAATTTTTCTTTTCAAACATTCCTTGCGTGTTTATACTTGTATTCATTATTACTTTTTCATTTGAGAATTTTCTTCTATTGTTTTTTTTCTCTTCTTCGATGTTGAATCAGCTTTTAAAATCACTTTTTTTCTTTTTTTTTGTTTTTTATTTTTATTTATTTATTTATTATTTATTTATTTTTTTTTCTTTGAAAATCGAGGGACTGTTCTTTTCTTGTTTCTACCTCAACGAGATATTTTTTGCTACTACTTTGAGAGCGCTAAAAACGTCATTTTTCTTGTCGTCAAGAGAAGATAAACTTAGAAGAACCTAGGAAAAAGTGAACAACAACAACATTAATACTGGTCAGGCTTAGTGATGTTTTATGGTTTTACTGGATATATTTACAGTGCAAATCTTGGGATTTTATGTTATTTTTTATTTCTGCCTTGCTGCCTTCTGGGTCGCTTGTCTTGCGATGTTCCTCAGCACACTGGACGACAAAGTACCGCGTTATTATGGAAAACGAACGATTATGGGGGTTAATCCAGGTAATTTTTGGTTTTTTAATAAATTTTTGGCTTTATATCGGGATCAGTGCTGTGGTTATTTATTTATTTTTTTGTTTGTTGAGAGTCGCTTTTATGGGTCGTTTAGGACTTGGTTACCAGCCCTGGATGGACGACGACCCAGATTCTACCCTCATTACCTGGGATCTAAAAAATCCTTCTTCTTATCAGAAGTATGTTAAAAGGCTAGACGACTATCTTTTGAAGTATAGTAATATAACTTCGACTAGAATTTGTAATGGTTCTGATAGCAATGAGGACGTAATTGATTTTAAGACCGGTAAAGCTTCAGATGGAGATGAAAACGGACCTGTTGAGGTTGTTTATTTTTCACTTACCTTTTTTGTTTTATTAATTAGAATTGAAACAAATCTCTCTCTTTGCAGTCACTCGTTTGGATCTATATTTTGTAGAACTCATGCACATGTGGAATTTCGTGCTTTCAAGTGAAGAGTCTTATTTCGATTATTTTGTTCTGATTTTTGGCTAATCATCTGCTTTTTTTAGGCTTGTCGGTTTGATTTAAGTATCTTTGACGAAGCGGGCTGTGGAAAAGCAGATGATTATGGGTTTAAACTGGGGAAGCCTTGCGTAATCCTTTCGCTGAATCGCATGATTGGTTGGAAACCTGCGCCCTATCACAATGACTCAATCCCAGAGGTCATTGCAGAACGTTATAAGCCTGGGTTCGTGACCATATTATGTGAAGGGACGGTATGTTATCTTTTTTGAACCTAGAAAGGACATTTGATTGCGAATTAGAACTTATTTTATTTCTTAATCTCATTATTCTAGCATAGTAGATGTTTTTATTGTTTATTTCAAATTCTCAGTATTTATAGAGTGATATGGACAAAGAGTTTATTGGAAAAGTGGACTACATTCCTGAAGCCGGTATTGATGGGAAGTACTACCCTTATGCTGTAATGGATAACTATCACCAGCCCATTGTAAATTCTTCCTGCTATATTTTAAATATTTTTTATAAAGACGATTGTTTGTAGTCTCCCAAAAATTTTATAGATATTTAAATTTTTTTCAGGCTATGGTGAAATTTGAAGACCTTCCACATAACAAGCTGGTGTTGGTAGAATGTCGCGCATTTGCAATGAATATAAAACAGGATTTAGGTGCAAAACTTGGGCTTGTTAACTTTGAATTATTGGTTGAAGACCGCAAAGAAGGTCCCGAAAACAGTCGGTAACGCAGAATTTGGAAGGGTACTGACAGCTCATTAGGAAAGTCTAAATTTTCGCAGATTGGTTCTACTCCCTCACAGATTACTCATTACTTGTCACTTGGCGTGTTTTTCTTTTTTTTTTCTTTTTTTTTTGGCAAATTGCTTATATTCTTACTTTTTGCTTTGTTTACGCAAGTTAGGTGTGACAATAGTTTTCCAATGGGATGCTTTCTGGCACCAAGTTTTACAGTTGTTCTAACGTACTATTGCGCGAGAGAATTCTATTTTAGGTGAACTTGGGTGCTTGCTTATGTTTTATAGGGATTTCTGATAAACCTCTGAAATTTAGCTCATGGCTATCATTAGGAAAAATATTTTGATTTTTCAGAACCCATTAATTAATTTGTTTTCAAGCTATATGCGCTATTCAGAGCAATCTGGATCAGATTATTTTAAAGACTAAAAATTGATTTTGGTGAACGTATACTATTGAATGACTAATAGATTTAGACCGACTTGTGCATTTCATTCCTGTTTTGCACGGAGATATTAGTATTAGTTTCACCATCAAAAGTAGCATTCTGTTGGAGTTTTGTAATTGCCTCTAAGTTCTGTCAGTATTTTGAATGCATATTGGTTGCATATATTTCTTATATTTATTTATTAATTGGGTTCATAACGAGTTCTAGT